ACTCTAATAAACTCATCTGCAAACTGTTCAAAGTTCAGAAATTAAACCTTATTTGCATACAAAAAACACATCAAAAGAACATTAAGGGCCAAATTCTGTTCTTTTGAAGATCTGCAGGCACCACTTGCAAACTGCTGCTGCTGTGCCCATGGCCAGGAGAGCAGGATGGACCCACAGCTTGGCCCATCACCTGCCATAATCAGGGGTTTCTTGGGGGCTGGCAGGGCTGGGCAGGGGCTCCCCAGAGCTATCTGGCCCCCAAATTCCTTGCTGCTGCCTGTATTGAGGCCAGGAATATCTGTGGTGCAGGTGCTGCATTATCACCTCCTTTCTCTGTTTTTCCATCCCCAACACCAATTTGACCATTCCTGACTGGGAAAATACACGCACCTGCAGTAAGAAAATAGCATTATATATGGAATATCCCATGAGTGACCATACAGCTGGCCCAGAGCTGGTTGGAATGACCACTCCCCTCTGGAGTCTCCAGGAGCAGACAGTGACCAGCAGGTCACCCTGCCCCGCGCCCACCAACCACGAGGCACCACAGGGCTCCTGTGATCCTGGGAATATCCTGGCTGGAGGACATGCAGGGTGGATCATCAGGCAGATAGGTGCTCAGGCTGATCTCCCGACGCCAGGCTGGTGGCACACAGTGAGTAACTCATCACTGCCACCACAGGAAGGAGCTCCAGCACTGCTCGTGGAGCAGCGCTCCGTGCTCCCTCAGAGCTGCACATACAGCTCTATTTGCTCTGCTCTGATTTCCTTCTCCTGAGCATCACCTCTCCACAGCTCAAATACTGCCAAGGCTCAGGGTCTTGGAGAAAGCTGAGCTCCATCCTCTCCTCACACTAGCAAAGGGAAACTCTGGGATGCAGCTCAGGCAGAGGGGGAGGAACCTTGGCTGGTATGAACCTTGTTCCTGCTGGAAACCAGCCCTGCCTGGTGCTGGCAAAGCTGCTTACAGGTATCTCACCGTATCTCGCTTCCAGGAGTGGATGATTTGCAATTCTGAGTGAGTTCGAAGAAGACATAATGTTCTGTTTTATCTGCAGGGGAAGCACACAGCTTAACCTTTGCCAGCAGCAAAACTCTGGCTCAGGTATTGATCAGCCCTTTAGGAAATCAGTGAGGGCTCCTGACACCAGGATCCATTCACGCCTGTTGGGATGGCATTTGGATTGGACCTCAGTGAGCAACACCAGCTGAGAGGGAACACCAAACAGCCATGGGAGAGTGAGCAGAGGACCTGCTGGAGGAGAATCAGGTGATTCAGAATCAGAATGAATTCTGAATTCTAACCCCCACAGTTACTGGGCCACACCAGAAGGTCAGCTTCCTTTTCCCCACTGTGACTATCCAATGGCAAATATGACCATGGACACCCACCCCAGACAAAGCCAGGTGCCTCAAAAACAGTGATGCCCACCCTGACCGATCCCAGCACCAGCTCTGACAGGAGGACCTTCTCAGAAGTGCCGGAGTTTTGTTGGAAATTCACAGCAGTAACCACGTGGGGGGATAAATTAATAATTTGTGGGTGCTCAGAGGGGTCCCCCAGTGCTTCCTCCCTGCCATTACTCACAGTTTCATAGAGTCACAGAAGGGTTTGGCTTAGAAGGGGCCCTAAAGACCACCCAAGTGTCCCTTGGCTGCCTTCCAGTCACCTCCAGTTGTAGCCTGATGCCGTGAAGTGTAAAACACATTCAACAAAAAAAAAAAGGAATAAAAATACAGCAGAGAAGTGGTTTTTGTATAAAAATTAAATTTGAATAGAAGTATGTTCATAAAATACATAAGTGGAAACCATGGGGTGTTTTTAGCCCCAATGTGTTACAAAGAAAATTTTGGTTCCAGGACACCCCCAAAGGGGACAGACGTTTATTTAGGAAACTGAAAAAGCACAAATGCAAAGCAAATTTAAAAATCAATTCGTTAAACCAAGGTTTCTCACTTTTTGATTTAAATCATGATTAAAAGCAGTTACTTGGCTGATTTCAATCAATCCACACCGTCTGTCTCAGCTGATCTCGAGCAGTTAAATAAGAACAGAGAAAATCATCGATAACCCATCTGTGTCACAGATGAGGAGAAACCCCAAGGGAACTGTTGCTCCCTGTTTCTCATGTGGTGGCCCCTGGATTTTTGAGGAGTGCCACAAGCCCAGAGGAAGCCACAAAAAAGAGTTTGTACCTGCAGCTCTGTGACAGGAGGCAGAAGTAGGGAGGGCTCACACAGTCAGGGTGTGTAACATACGTATTTACTCTCCCTAAACAGAGCATAAAACATCCCTAAGTGACACTGGCGCAGTTAAGTTTCACAAAAATTAGTTTTCCTGAGGGTACTATCCCTGCTTTGGGAAAATTTGCACAGGAATAAGGGCCAGCGATGGGGACAATGCACCTGCAGACAGCAAAAAAAACAGGAGGTCAGACATCGTGGAATAATTTAGGAAAAGTCCTCTATGATCATTGAGTCCAACCATCCACCCAGCACTGCCAAGATGACAAACAGAGCAGGGAAAAACTGCACCAGGGAGAGGAGGAAGAGCAGAAAAGCCCAGGGAAGTGACTGGGTGCCGGGGCGAGCGCTGGGCTCAGCCAGAGCTGTCGCGCCCGTCACGGAGCTGTTTCCCATGTTTGGGCAAATTCCCTTTAGGCTGCAGTTCCCCAGTTGTCTAATTGTCCTTGATGTATGTTCTCTCCCCCAGGAATGCCATCCAGACCTAGTAGCTCCAGATGTCTGAATATTATGCAGGAAGCTGGTAAACAAATTCCTCCTATTTTTCCTGCTAGCAATTAGTAACGTAGGAAGAACACATTGCTGAGCAGGCGAGGAACCCAGCACACATATTTCATATGCATTTAGAGCCACTTAACGCCTCTGGAAGGGTGAGGAACACTGAATACCGTAAATCTGTTCCATCACCTCTTGTTGCTACAAAAAAGTAAAAATAAGGAAAAAAAAGCAAATGTTGAAATAAGAGTTAAAATTGGGACAAATTAGTGATTTCAACAGCTTACAGAGTAACCATCAAACACTCAGGTGACAGAGCAGTTCTACCACCTCCCCTCAAGCAGCTCTTTTAAATTATTTCAACTTTTTACCCCAACTTCAGCTTTGGAGGACGTACCTGCCTGCTTCCTGTACTTCCCCTCTCCGTTAATTTCTTTGCCTGTTCCAGCAATCCTGCCCTAGGAGGGATGGCTTAGGTGGCTTCAGGAGTCTTTGCCAGTATTAATTGTTATGATTTTAGAGCCCCACAGGGTGAAGACTTTGAAAAGGAGAATTTGTTCCTAAGATTGGGAGGAAAATGAAAAAATCCAGCACGGTGGCCGTGCAAAACTCCAGCACGGAGACAGTGTTGGGAACACTGGGAAGAGAATTAAAGGTTTCCAGCTCAGGGGGTGAAAGGACAGCGTTCATGGAAAACACAAGCCACAGATCCACATGCCGGATTTTACCAGCTGTGGAAGTTTGGGAGCAACTGAATAAATTTTGCTGTGACAAAGATCTTTATCTGGTCTGGCTGCCCCAAAGTGATCTGTGCCATGGCACTTTCTGGAGGAATTATGCTTGTCTCTGTTAGGACTAAACAGAGAGCTCTTCTTGGCTAAAAACACAACTGTAGCATATTCCTAAATAAACAGCTGCCCCAGACTGAGTTAACCATGTTTTAGGCTTTTTTTCAGTCTCATGAAATATGTATTGCCCCAAGTCATGGGAAAATCTAGGAGACAGAGGCAGCTCCTATTTTGCACCTTCAGAGTGTTTGGCATATTTTTGTCCTTGTAACTGTGAAGAAAGTCTCCTTTCTGATGCATTTTGGCATTGCCCTGCGCAAGCAGTGAGCCCCAACCACTGCTACAGATCACATGCTAAATTGAAGGCAAGTAGGAGGTGGTGCCACAATAAATGGCTTTACTGATCTCTTCATGGTGGTTTATCAACACTCTACAGGCATCCCAAGCCCCTGGACAGGGTTATGAACAGTCAAGGCTCTCAGCCACAGCCCTCCACACGCAGCACAAAGGTGAGCACTGCACTTTTCAAAGCATCTTTTGATCCCATTTTATATCTCTCCCCTAAATAAATGGGTTGGTGAGGCCTTAAATGGCCTGCAGTGTTACAGACTGTCCATGTTTCCCTTGGTCAGTGCTGGGAGCCAGGCAGAAAGGGTTTGGTGCCACCTCTGCTTAGGGAAAGGGTGTAGGAAACCCGACCCAGGGCTTTTCAAGCCTTCTCAAATGAAGGTTTAAAATAGCCCCAGCAACCTGGTGAGTGACCTCAGTAGCTTAACAAGTCCTCTCAAACCAAGAACTAAGAGAGGAGCATGAGAATGAAGCTACTGAGCAAAATGTCTGCATTGAGCACTGCACAGGTGATGCTCAGAACCCACTCAGTGCCCTCAAACACCAGCTCTGCAGAGGTTATTTAGAGATCCCTTTGCAACTCATTATCCTTCGGCAAAAATAAACTGCAAACATGCAAAACAAGTGTCCATTTGCTGTTTTCATCATCTCTCCTTCCTTTGGCTCAGGTGTGTGTGGAGCATATACCTGTTGGAGGACTAAGATCATTCCTGCTCCTTACTGCGATGAAGGAATTAAATACAAAATCTTCTGTAGGAAGCAATTGTGAAGTGTGGAAGTTTCTAGTCAGGCAAATAAATTGGATTTAAGTATATTACAGTCATAATCTTTTTCTGCCTCTCTCCAGACAGCCTTTGTACATGGAGAAATGAGAATGTATTCTCAGACAAATCTTGACCTGAGGGAGAAGGCTGCGGGAATCTGGATTTTCAATAACATAAGACAATAAAGCTCAGACTTCTAACCTGCCGCAATATGGTAAAAGTATAAAGAGCTTAGCAACTAATAAAAGAAAAGGGTCTTCCAACTCATATTTGAAGATCTAGACCCCCAAAAGGACACTTCATAAAGATCATAATGGGTTAGTCAGTATCTAACAGATACCATGTACCTTGTTGACCAATTGTCTGACAGTTGTCTTCTGCAGGCCTGGATATTAATAAGCCTTGTGTTGATTTCCTTGGGGTATTTTGTCTTCGTAATTGTACATCTACTTGTTGTGACACTGCAGCTTGCTATATATTTATTTAATGTGATTCCTATAGCAAAAAAAAAAAAAAAAAAAAAAAAAACAGTGGATGTATGGCATTGTTTCCCTCAGATGAGATGCACACACTGCAAATTTCCTCTCCCTCCGAGCTGCGGCGAATCAAAGCTGTGCCAGGGAAAGGGAGAGCTCCCGGTCTTGGGGCAAAGAGGAAATCCAGATGTGTTTTCCCCTTAGGTGTGAATATGTCTTACTCCTTGCATTACACAGGGAATATAAAGGGATTCAATTATCGCCGCATTTTGATTTCTAATAATAACAAAAACTCCTTCTAGAAGGGATTCCATTAAATAATGTTTTGACAGATAATGCTGGTGTAAAGTAGCTGTCAGTCACACAGCGAGATCAAGGGGAAACAGATGCACGAGGCAGATCACAGAGAGGCTTATAGAGTGAAAATGAAGCCTGTTCCAAACTCCTCTCACTAACAAAACAAAGGCTGCCTGTGGCCTGATCCTGCTCTCAACCATGTTCTGTGCAGCTACTGAGCAAAATGCAAATATTTAGAGATTGCCTGCGAGAGATAAATTGTAGTTTTCCATAGATTCTCAAATACAGGAATATTTAAAGAACTCTGTGTTTGCACCTCCCTCGGTCGTACCAGATGTGGCCTCACCACTATAACACCACAAGACAGGGGGAGGAGTGGTGGTTGTTGGGTCCTTGGCCAAACTACCCCTCTTCCCTGCACCTGTCCCACTCCAGTTCCTGGCCAAGACACTGCCCCTGGCTTTCAGAGAGGCTGCTCATACTGATGCAAGTCTGAAAACACCAGGTTTACCCAAATACCACCTTTACTTGTCCCTGGGAACAAAGCTCAGCCCCCATTTGCTGCTTGGCCCATCCCTTCCATGGTCTGGAGAATCTGTAGCTAAAGGGGAACTTCCTTCCTTTGTCCCACCTTCATCATCATCATGGAATCACAGACTGGTTTGGGTTGGGAGGGACCTTAAAGACCACCCAGTTCCACCCCCTGCCATGGGCAGGGACACCTTCCACTCTCCCAGGTTGCTCCAAACCCCGTCCAACCTGGCCTCAAACAACTGCACTACATTCCCCTTAAAGTTTATCCTGTGATGAAATATTTTCCTTTTTCTCCAAGTTCCCCACAAAATCGCACGCAGATGCTTTGTCACAACCCTCTGTCTTCCACTAACTCACCCTGGCTGTGCTGATCCCAGTTCCCAGCCAAAACAAGCCCCTCAGGGCAATTCCTGCTGCTGTTGCCCATCTCCTGGGGTCTCCATGTTGTGCCTCCAACACAGGATCAACAGAGATAAATGGAACAACAGAGTGGAGGGAACCTGTGCTGGAAAAGACAGAGTATAAAAATTAAGAACATATTGATTTGTAGCAACACCTAAAGTCACACTAGACTGTGAAGTGAGCAGATGCCTAATGAAGAGGGGTCTGTTGTAACATTTCCATACCTGATTCTGGCATATCCTGGGATAAGATAAATCATGAGAAATGAGAGGAATACCAGAGATGTGTTTCAAGGCACTTGCTTAGGGGGCAGATTGAATTACAACTAATTATAATATTTAAAAATAAATCTCCAAACTTTCCATATGAGCTCTGAAAGAGCTCATTGAAAACTATTAACTATAAACTATGTTCACAAGTTACTCAGTTTTTAAAAAATAGACTTGATTTTTTCTATTGCTAAAATTATCCTGGAGCTTGAGCACAAAGTTTAAATATGGGATTAAGAAAGGAAATACACACACAGAAGGGTCACTGCTTTATTCCCTGACAACTCATGAGTCAGGAACAGGAAATCCAAGCTCCCTCTCCCAAATCACCTCCCCCACCCAAGGGTGCTGTTCCAGAGTGGTGATGAGGCCAACTCAGATCACAAGCAACCATGTGACACCCAGGAGATTCCTTAACCTGCTCTAGAGGAATGTTATCTTCAGCTAAAGTGTTTTAACTTAAAATTTTCAGGTTTTGGATAAAATTTCAGTTGGAGAGAAAAAAAACAAACCTGAAAATAGCAAAAGTTTCTAGAAGGAAGAAATGAAGCGCCAAGGGATCTGCTCCACCACCTCCATATTCCTCCAGCACCTTCCCACCAGTGATATGGGTAAAAATACAAATATTTATAGAAGACAATTGGCCCACGTGATAAGGGGTGCTGTGCTCATGGGAAAGTGCTGGAAATTATGGGGTAAGGCAAAGGAATAATCTATCTGGATAATCCCGACAAAAACTGCTTCGGGACTGTGCAACAGCAAAGAAAAATGGGAAATGCTTCTTTTTAAATGGATTATTCATCTAGAGTAGTCTATAGCTCAAAGCATTGTGAGTGCTTGAGGTAGGGTCAATAAACCTGTGTTTTTAAGATAAATTTTAATAAAATGCTTTCCTTTAAGCATTCAGGATTAGTGACAGGAGGATGCTCTGCTCCTGGATCCTCAGCATTGGACAGCACATGGCCTTGGGCACCAGTGAGCTGCTTATTCATTTGTCTTTTTTTAAACACTCAGACAGAGTTACAAGATAAGACACAAGTGTAACTAAACTTAACAAGCATCTAATTTTATCCTTTGTTTTGCCTGGTAAACATCAGCTTACAAAGTCAGAGCAGAGAGCTGCAGCTACACTTGGGAATGAAAAAATATAATTATTTACTACAAAACATACTGGATTTTAGTGATTTTGAGGTGACTTTATGAAACTGGCTGAAAAGTTCCCCCCCTCCCCCTTTACCTGAAGTTCATTAACTAAATAAATTTCCATAAATGCATTTCTCTAAACAAAACAACAAATGGGTTTTACTTTCCCCCCAAAACTCATTTGGACTCAGGAGCTCCCAAGCAGACCTCATTCCGTGGGAATCAGGGCTGAACACACACAGGTTTTTGAGCAGAATTATGCCAAACACTAATTTTAATGCCCCAAATGTACTGAAAATGAACAAAATTCTGCACAAAAATTTCACTTGTGGAGCCCAAGGTATGATCAAACCTCCTGCGACTGAACTAGACAGAACATGGGGAAAACGTCCCATCCCTGGCAATGTCCAAGGCCAGATTGGATGGGATTTGGAGCAACCTGGTCTAGTGGAAGGTGTCCCTGCCCCTGGTAAGGGGTGGGACTGGGTGAGCTTTAAGGTCCCTTCCAACCCACACCAACCTGGGATTCTATAAAAACCTTGATCACTTCAAAACCACCAGCAAGTTCATTCAAAGCAGAACTGCTAGAATTTGGTGTGCCGTGATTCTGGGAATGCTCCTGGCTGGAGCACAGGCACAGACAAACACAAGCCTGTGCCTCAATACTTGATTTGTCATTTATTATGTTATTATCACTTTATTTATCACATATTTTAGGCATTGCACTGCAGCACTGGCTCCTGCAGGCTGCCCATCATTTCTGACTGTGTTTCATTGACCTACAACTTTTACATCTACATTTTCAAGCTGATATTTAACTTGAATGATCAAACCCAGTATTTTCTGGCTCTCTGACAATCTTAAACCAGATCAAGGTGCTACACTGGGAAATGGACGGTCATATCTCCTTTTCCTTCTCTATTCCAGCACTAAAGTTGCATTAAGGACCAAGTGCAGGGATCTGTGGTCCAGCAACTTAAAAGACCCAGGCACTTGCTGGAGGAGACAGAGGGAAACAGCCTAATGTGCTCTTGCCATGTGGTAATTTTCCAGATAAATGGACAGTTGCTTCAGCAGCTCCACTGTTGAAGGTCAATGATCCATATAATACGGGCAATTACGGAAGTATTTCCATTGCAGACTCAGTGACAAATTTTTAGTGCAAGACAACAGATAAACTGGAACAGCAGCACCAGAATGAGGGCATCAGACTTGGAATCCTACACCCCAACTCCTGTCTGGTGTTTGCTGGAGGGATCAGCTCTCCATCCCCAGCTCACATGATGATTTTCTCCATATTTTCTTATTTTGGCATTTCTTAATCTAAAATTACTTAATATTGAGCCTAAATTACCACCACCTGGCTTTCACACAGCCCACTTTTCCTGCCTTCTAGTTCAAAGTTAAGCACTTGGTTGTTTTATGAAGATTCTCTAGGGCTGAAGGGGGAAAAAAAATAATAATAAAAAAATCAAATAAGGGAAAACTCCTCAGCAATTTGAAAACTTGGGCTCCTGGCGAAGGCACAAACATAACCATTTCTAATTGCCTTTTAAAGCAAGGCAGAAAGCATTTTCAGGAGTGTGTTCTGCTGGTGCTCTGACAAACACCACACACGAGGCTGGCTGGAATCACAGCTCACCTGCTCATGGTTCATGAAGATTCCAAGCAAAACATGGGTTGAAATAAATAATTGTTTTGTGTAATGAAGTGTGCACGAGGTCTCTGGTGGCAGGACCAAAGGGAACAGCTGGAGCTGTGTCAGGGGAGGGTTAGGTTGGGTATTAGGGAAAGGTTCGGTTGGGCACCGAACAGGCTCCCCAGGGCACGGCCCCAAGACTGTCAGAGCTCAAGGAGTATTTTGACAACACTCTTAGGGTTGGGGTGGGATTGTTGGGGTGTCCTGTGAAGGGTCAGGAGTTGGACTAATGGTCTGTCTGGGTCCCTTCCAGCTCAGGAAATTCTGTGATTCTATTAAATAACCGCTCATACCATGGCATGGGCTGTTTCAGCACCACTTGCATCCCAAAAAGCCCAGGCCCTTCCTGCACAGTGTTACAACATGCCACGAGAAATCAGTTCCAAACACTTGAAAATATTTCCAAGCATCTCAGAGTCCCTCCCTGGCAGCACCAACAGTTCCAGCTCAGAGCTTGTAAAAGCAAAGAGGTTCTTGCACCTTCAGCACCTGCTTATAAACCATCTACACACATCAAAATGTAAAATATCCAGGTGCCCTCAGCCATCCAGGGGCTGGGGAAGTTTAACGATAAACACATAAGACCCTGAAAGACTTTTGTGATTTCTGATGGGAATACACTAAACCTGTGGTAGTGCTTCCCTTGTGGATTGTACTTCTGTTTCAGTTTCAGTTTACTGCAGCTTTTCCCTATCGTGTAAGAGACAGAGTGCCATTTCATTCCACCAAAATGAACAGGAAACATCCGTAAAGAGCAGCCTTAATGGTGGAGGAATTCACCAGGGACAGCCTTTGGAGTTGTTCAAGAACCTATTTCAAAATTTAAGCAGATTTTGCTAAAAAGAAAAGAGACTTGAAATGCTGGAATTTAACCTTCATGTAGAAAATGAAAGAATGTTTTCAAGAATATCCAAGGCAGAAGCCATCCCTCCCTCTCTCCCTCCCTCCCCACCAGCAGGAGCATGTGGCAGAAGCCAGGACTGACACAGGAACCATTCCTTGTGCAAATAAGTGATTTTGTACAAGATTAATTAGTAAGGGGAGATGGTTTTGGATATCTTATGATGTCAGTGGCTCATTTATGAAATATGCAGTGATAATCCACAGCCATGGAAGAGCTGGATGATCAGCAGATCATTGACTGGCTCAGGTTGGAAGGGACCTTTGAGATCACCTAGTCCAACCCCCTGCCATGAACAGGGACACTTCACACAAGACCAGGCTGCTCAGATTTTGCAGTATTAGCACTGACTTGTGTTTCTCAAGGAGATCAACAGGGATGGGACAGTCCAAGGGCCGAGACCCTCCTGCCCACCAGCATCAGATTGAAACAACCAGGAAAGAGCTCTCCTTACAAACACTTCAATCAATAAATTCATGAGTTACATATTTTTGGACATCAGGAAGAATTTCCTCATGGAAAGGATTTTTAAATATTGGAAGGGGCTGCCCAGGGAGGGGCAGTGGATTCCCCATGCCTGGAGGTGTCCAAGGAATGACTGGATGTGGCACTCAGTACTCAGGGTTGGGTGACAAGGTGGACTCAATGGGCTGGGAGGGCTTTTCCATCTTTAATGATTCTATGATTCTGCATCACTACCTTCTCGGAAGTATCACTGTGCAGGTTCCTGAGGAACTTCTGTAACATACAGTTAACATATCTGATGTCTAATTCAGCAAAATAAGGTAGCTGGGTTTGGCAAAGCTGCATCAGGAGAATCTCTTTTGAATTGCATTAATGCCAGTGTCTAACATTTTTTAAAAACACTGATTTATCATTGATCTATTGCTGCTATGCAGAACAGATTCAACAAGTCCTGCATGTTTGCTCCAAACTCTTCCGAAAGACATATCCCAGCCAATGACATGGAAAGGATAAATTTATTCTCTTTAATGTGAGCTGAGGTCACTAATGGGAACTAAATACACTGATTTTCCCTGTCCTGGGCAACAGCTGATTGGACAAACACTGTTCCTGCTACGTACACAAAAACTCCTCCCCTAAAACATCCCTCAACCCTGTTTTCTCTTGTAAAAATTATGTAATTGCATGTTGGTTCAGAAAATTGCATAAAAGTTGCTTCTATTATGATTAATTGTCCCCACGGCTTCTTGTAAAATTTTTCAAAGTTC